TCACTCCGCGCAAGGGGGATGATCGCACCACGTTGTGTTAAATTGGTCAAGCATCCTCGAGGCAGTTACACAGTGCTTCTAACTGTCTCTGGAAGTGAAAGCACCAGAAAATAAATTAAGTCATACGCAGCTGTCATTCGTACGCAAGGAAGTAAGCACACGATGACGAGCACCCTCAGCAGGATGCAGCGCGCCCTTCATGCGACTCGCCGAATACCTCACGGCGCTTCACGCTTGGTGATGTGAGAGCCTGGTCCGGTGAGAACCCGACGTGCTCCGTCCCGGCTTTGTAGGGATGCGAGGTCAATGATCTAACGACTACGGCATGCACGACTATGACTACACCTCCCCCCCCCCTCCCCCCGTCGGCCGTGGTTCTCATTGGCTCGCTGTCGACGACACGTCCGGTGGTCGCCGCCGCTGATGTCATCAGGTCGGGCTCGCGATGAAGAAGGTGGAGTTCCCGCGGGTCCCTGGGTTCAAGACGGAGCGCGAGACCGCTCTGCACGCTTTGGTGGTGAGGAAGTGCCGCCTGTGGCAGCGGCTCATCGAGATCGGCGCCTACTGGGAGAAGGTATCGGGATCGAGGGTCGGCGTGCTGGCCGCCACCAGGACCGCCGCTCAGACATCGAGCCGAAAGGCAACCGCCGCCGCCGCCGCCTCCGTCACTGCCTCCGGTGCCGTCGATCCCGCTCTAAGCAGGAGCGCTCCGGAGCGCCTAGCTGGTGGTCGTGATCGTGGGGGTGTCATTGCCAGTGCCAGCAGCAGCGGAGGGGTTCAGGTCGAGCTGGATGTGGGAGGCGGTAGCATCGCGGCGGCGGCGAAGAAAAACACAGCGGCGGCGTCGGCAGGTCAGCAAGAAGCCGAGGTTTCGGGAGCCGGGAAGGAAGTTGTCGGCGTCGCAACAGCAGCTGCGGCGGCAGCGGCGACGGCGACGGCGGGGACGGAGGGGCAGGGGGCGAGCAACGGCTGCGTGGGATGGGAAGGGGGCGGAGCGAAGAAGAGAGCACGGGAGGATGGTGACGGTCCACCGCAGCAGGCCGCGAAATCGTTGAAACAGACCTCCAACGGAGAGGCGGCGAGCGGGATCGACGTCGGTGGTGGCGGTGCCGCAATCACGGAGCCCCCATCAGCGGCGGTGGCGATGGGCGCACAGAGCAAGGGGAAGGGAAAAGCAGCGCTTGACCCACAAGCGGCGGAGTCTCCGACGGCAGCGATGGAAGTGTCGAGCGCCGACCCTGAAGCCGAGATAGACACAGGTCTCGAGGTTCCGGACACCATGGCCGAGATAGCCGGGCAGGCGTGGACGTACGGGTCCTTTGGCAAGGAGCGAGTGCTCTGGTACTGCCCCCCCGGGGGGGGCGAGGCAGACAGGTGCACAAGCAGCGAGCAGCTTCAGGCGTACCTGCGAGAGCGCTACGGCAACGGGCGGGTTCCCGGGCAGTTCACTTTCAGCGGCAAGGATGCCCCGCCTCAGTGGGAGAGAGTCGATGCCCGCCGTCCCGACAACGGGTCTCTGATCGCCAAGGATAAGGACAAGGCTGCAGTTCCGCCGCCGCCGTCAGGCGGGGTGCAGAACTTCATGTGCGTGTATTGCGGGGAGGAGACCGGCCCTTGGGTCAGCGAGCACCTGGAGCGATGCTACCGGAAGGTGAGGGTGGGTGTGGGTGACCGCCGCGTGCCCGACCCCAAAGGCGCGCATCATGTCCTCCTCGCCGACAAAGTCGCTTTTCCCCTCGATCATTAGGACTCCATCCCTGTTTATGGGTTGTTTTTTTATAGTACGACACGTGGGGGGGGAAATGAATAGGAAATTAAAGATGCGCCAAAACAATTTTAGAAAATACTTGAAAATATAGAAGAACACCCGTTCTCCGCAAACGCGAACACACCGGGATGTTATGTGGCGAGGGGATGCGTGGAACGGAGACAGCGCGACTGCCCATACGACGCTGCTATGGTCGCTGCCCTCGAACTGCATCCAAGAGGCCTACCCCCCCGAAATCCCGAAATGTTACATTAACCCGCACAAAGCATGACGGCTTCGTAGAGAGTGCCTGCCTGCTTGTTTCGCTCTTCGGGCCGGACGCCTCCCCCCCCCTCCCTCCCTCCCCCCCGCGCTGAGCACAAAACCACACCTGGGCCCCTCGTGACACCGTTTTCTGCTGACTCGTCTGTCCTCTCAAAACCACCAGACGACCGCCATGCGCAACGAGCGCCTCAAGCACGCGACCCTGCGCCCGCTCCGGGACAACCACTTCCTGCAGGGGGGCTCGCGGCTGGGAGCGGCGTCGGTGACCGAGCCCGTGTCGGTGCCCCCCTCGGCGGCCCTGGATTCCCCCGCCGCCATCGGCAGGCAGCTGCTGTCGCGCCGCATCGCCTACGCCAACTTCGACTCTCTGCCGGACCCGTCTCGGTTCCAGCTGCATCACGACCTCAAGGGCTGGCGGGAGTCCCCGTCCCGACTGGACTTCCTGTACAAGGAGCTCGTTCGGCAGCGAAACGCGGCGGTGAGATGGTGTTCCTTCTGCCGGAACCAGCGCGTGGTTGCGCTTCGCACAACACGGGTGGGCGGGGGCAGTAGGACATTTTTTTTTCTTTGTCGCCGGAATGCGTGTTACGCTTGGGGGGGAGACCGGCGGGATGATGCTTCATATCTGTCGTGTCATCATGCCGTGAGAGTGGGCCGGGAGTATTCTTACTCTTGGCCGCAGGCACGGGCGTCCTGATTTTTAGAGATTGGTGATTAAACCCTCGCCGAGACGGTACGGCACGGCATTGGTCTCCTGCTAGTGGCGGTTCCCCCGCCGTGGGGTTCTGTGTGCCACTCTGTCTCCGGTAAGATGGTTCCCCGTTGTGCGCACATGCTGTTCCCTTTCGAGGAACGTTCTTCTTGGGAAGATTCTGGCTAACGCCGACCAGGACTGTGTGTAGTGTCGAGACAGTAACGTCCCAAGACAATACCACGACCAACAACAAGGAGCAGCAGCGAAACCAGCGATACAACCAAAAATGCCTCCACCCCCTTCCTCTTTTCGTTCCCGCCGCACCACCCACACGTCCAGATCTACGAACTCCAAGCGCTGGACAGAGAGGAAGCCGAGCTGGAGGTGCACCTGCGGCATGATTGGATGAAAGATGACCTCCGTTCAATCCCTCGCATGCGCATCAACTATTTGTAGACTAATTGGTTCCGTTAGCGTCGAGTTGCAAAGTGTTTTTCTTGCTGATGGAATCCGGGGTTTTGCAGTATGGGAGGGGGGTTAACCGACCGGTTATTCTGTAAACATGTTGGCGTTGCGCGGGCGATCTGCGTCTTGCGAAGTGGCTGGAAGCTTGTGAGAGCTTCTGCATAGCTCGCGTGTCCGCGGCAGGTAGGTGTGTGATTGATCTCATGGAACTTTTTTTGGTGGTGGTGGTGGTGGTGGTAGCGGTAGCGTTTGTTGGGGTTTGTTCCACTGATTGTCTTAGCAGCAACATCTGAGACGTTAAAATCCTTTGTGCGTCCTGATATGTAGACGCCTAAAGCTTCTAGCCCGTCGTCGTTAATGTGTGCTGGGACGACAATATACCACTCTGGAAGGGATTCGGAATCCGGCACAAGCTTGATGAAACTGGCTAATAGAAAAAATATTGCTGTCGCATGCAGCGTGGTTTGCAGGCTCGCGTGTACCATGAATGATGAAGCGGGAACACAAATTGTCTGGGCGAGATGGCTCTTTGCTTTCGTACCCGCACGGAGATAGGGATAGGGCTCTGTACTTGGATGTTGACCGTCAGGACGGATCCATTAGCGGATGATGGCCTCGTGCGTGTGTAGACGATCTGTCTGTTTCCTTGAGACCGGTGGTGTCTGCAGAGCGTGACTATGTGATGCACGGTCCGATTATCCATTGCAAGTTCGTTTTATGTTGAGCATGCCTATATAGTGGTGTTGTCTGCTCCTTCACCGTGCGTTGGTCGTTATCTGTTGTGTGGGATAGGGTGACCTGTGCCGTTGACTGACTATTGTCAGCAGGGCGTGACAGGTGGCACGCGGCAATATTTTCTGCAGGTTTGCGTATGTTGAGCATGCCTACAATTCTACTCCGGAGTAGTGGCCTGGCCTTCTTTGCTCCTGCACCGAGTGCGCTCATCCTGATCTGCTGTGTTGGATCAGGCGGAGCCATCTACCCCTTCCTCGCTTGATGTTGGACACGGCGCCTGTTTGAGCTGCCGCGCAACACGGTGTATCGTGTGCAGAGATGCAACATAGAAATATTTTACACTTTTTTCGTTTTTGCTGAGTACGCTGCTTGTGGTTTCGTTTGCTCAAGTCCTGCGAATACATCAAACTTTTCAGAGCAGGGGGGGGGGGGAGGGGGTTCGCAATCACGAACAAGCTTTGAGAAATTTCACGCCGTTTTGTGTTATAATCGTTGACCTAGCACCCTTGCCTCGAATGGTAAAAGCGTGATTTGTCGGGGGTGGGGTGGGGTGGGGTTCTATTTTGGTGCTCGTCTTGCATGTCAACCAGTTGCGTTGCGTAGGGACAGGACGATCAGAATTGTGGTACCCCAAGCCCCCCCCCCCCCCTCCCGTCACGGTGGTGAGGCTTGGTGTCGGAAGCACTCACGTGTAGCAGACGGCATGATGGCATTGACATTGCTGGTGGTGTGTTAGGAAGGACTTTTTTTTTCTTCCCGGCGCTACGGGGGCCAGCGCGGTAAATATAGAACGGGGGGGCTGGTTCATGAAGCTTCTTGGGTGAAGAGGGAGAGCACAGTGCAGGGCTTTTTTTACTTTGGAGGAAATGTGACGGTCTGTAGCCCTTGGGCTGAAGGCAAGAGGGCAGGTTCGAGGCGTGGGGTTGTGTAGAGAGTGACCCCATGGCGCGAGTAATTTACTCATTTACAAGAACACATTGCAAACACGTGTGTGCATGTCTGAGGTCTTTATCGAGCGAGGAAGTTTGCCCCGACACGCTCGCACCGTGCCTAGTTGCACCTTCGACCTCCACACCTTTACTACGATCACCGTTTTCGTCATCCAATAGCCATGTAGATCCAAAAGAACACTTTTCGCCAGCTAGTGCTCGTGCTTGCGAGGGTTGCTCCCGAAATTACAAGGGCAAGTTGTTGCGTTCCAAGCTGCTGCAAAATCGAAACGGTTCAACTCCCCGCGACGTATCATGTCTGCTCTCGACGGTACGGGTCGTACCCGATGGTGGAAGACGGTATATTTATATTCCGAGGTTGGTCACGGGAAAACCCGAAAAAACCAACACAAGAGAGCGTGCTGAAAGCACTCCTTTGAATACGTGTGAACTAAGTGGCTTGCGTCAAGGTGAGCGGGAGAATAAGCAACTCCGCCTGACTTGCCTATAGCATGCGCCATGTCTAGGCAGCACGCGAGGAATCGTCCAATCCTTGCTCACCGGAGCATCTCACTCATCCAAGGCTTCTTACGCCCGGCGCGACTGACGTGACGTGCATTGTATCACTGCACACCAAACACGGAACAGATCAGATCGCCCCCGCTTCCACGCCAACATTGCGTGCAACACACCCTGCACGATAATCCGCCGTCTTGCCCCCACTCGGACGCCAAAGTTTCCTTTTCTTCTTCTCGTGTATTCGGTTTGCACGGTGCATCTACAATGGGCAAATCAAAAATACTACACTATGGACTCGGCTACCCCTACCATGCAGTCTCACACTCGCGCTCAACACGCCAACATTCCGTTGCCGCAACACCACCGTAGCAGACCATTTTTCTGAGCCCCCAAAACTCACGACACTTATCCCACCTATGCTGCTATTTCTCAGGTGCTTCCCTACAGAAACTCAGCCCGTGGTCACAAGCCAGGCACGAAGGTATGCCACACACGGCAACCTCCTCCCCCCTACCGGTGGATGCTCCCCACAAAGATCATCGTGCTGGTGGTGTTTTCGTTGCGGCCTCCAAAGCCTTGAAGCGCTTTACTTCCGCCCTCAACCCCTCGCACGCCAGCTGAATCTGCACGTTCTTGTCGAAACCCTCTGATCGTTTCCGCGCCAGGTTCCACAAGGTCCTCTCCGCCGCCTCCTGCGAAGTCTTTCGCTTCAGGTTGACGCTCTCCGCGTCCTCGCGAGCCCGTTTCGCCTGCACGGGGGGGGGAGGCGGGAGGTGCGGTAAGGGGCGACGCAGGATCATGCACGACCTACCAGTAGAGTCCTCGGAACATTAAAGAGCAGGAGAAGAGACTCGTGCCAACATAAGCACCATCATCGATACAACGCGGGTGGGGGGATGTGATGACTGAAATATAGTAGAGGTCCCTGTTTAGTGCCGGCATGTGCCCAGAAATTCTCCGGCACTATACCGGACCGGCACAACTAAAAGTATTGAGAATGGCTTGGAAATTCAGCGTGTGTCCGCCGAAAACAACGGCACTATACCGGGCACCGGCACTATTCAGCCGGCACTAAACAGGGGCCTCTACTGTAGTAGACTGAAGTAGAAATTCAAATCAGTCCGCTAGGGGCCAACAAGTATTTAGCTGTCAAGGCAAGACTTTCACGACCTACACAGCCGCCTTGGTGTGCTTCCATCATTCAATGTAACAGCATAGAGTCACGTCACAGCACAGTGGAGATATCGTTTGGAAAGGAATCACGTCTCTCCAACGTTTTTCGAGGACGAGCCCTCACGTCACATGTCATTTTTCGATTGAGCAATGGAACACTGTCCTTGCTCCCTGCAGAGACACCGATACTAGGGGGGCTTCTTTCGATTCCGGGCCACGGCTGACAAAGTGCAAGCACACCCGCGTGCTTCTAACGATGTACTGTACCAAAAATAGCCCCGAAATTGAAACTACAGTATCCCGACCGCGCGAGCCGCTTCGTGCTCGTGTACTGACGTGCTCTCCGGAGCGTTCTGTGCAATAATACTGTAGCATAGCTCAGGGGCGTGTGTTGTACGATCATTCATGCATGCCCTTGGGCCGTACCAAATGACCTTCAAACGTGACCAGAAACAACGACGGCCACGAGCTACAGCACCCCACCTGCGATGCCACCGCTGCCTCCGTCCCCTCCTCGGCCTTGTTGTGGCCCAGCCACATGCTAGCGCCGTAGTTCTGCAGCAGCTCCAAGTTTAGCAATCTGCTCCTCGGCGAATGGACACACCGGTTCGAGATGTACGTGTGCAAGGCATGGATACGAGCGTGCGTGAGGAGGCGCAGGCAGACCAACCGATCAACAACAGGACACGAAACCAACAGCGCCGTCCATGTATTTGGGCCCTGTGAAGAGGCCGTAGGAGGGGGACTAAAATTGTACTCATACCGCGCCATACAGCAGTAAATAATATATTCTCCCAACTGCTGTGATGGCCGCAAGCGATGGATGGTGCTTGGTGTGTCCGTACTGTAAAGTACTCCTGACGAACAAAGCGTGCCGGAGCAGTACGTGCAAGCAGGTTGCGATCTCTTCCATGCGGCAGCAGCAGAGCTCGTTAGGACGCCGCTGGGCGACGATGCTTAGCGAAGGAGTGTTTGAAGATCCCCACGTGGTGCGCTCAATTGCGTCGGCTTCTCCACGCTCAAGCCTCCATGGAGGGTCGCCCTTGCGTGCGCTGGGGACCCCAATAGGCTGCC